CCCCAAAACCCCAAAACCCCAAAACCCCAAAACCCCATGGATAAATTCACTAAACATAGAAATAATTTTGATGTTTAGAGATTAATAATTGAAATAAAATGAGCTAGTAATTGGTTCAACAGTAATCCCCTGAGAGCAGTAATAATAGATCTAATCAAAGTCAAACTAATATCAGTCCAGGCTTGAATAATGTAGCCATAGTAACTGGCTCTAGCGCAAAGTAAAGGGAAGAGTTTGAGTAGATGCTAAATGAAGTGAGACAGAGACTGGAGGAGAAACTTAAAATGTTCAAGGAAAAGCAACTGACATAAAATGGCAAACATAATACCAAGGAACTTCAAGATCTACAGCAATTAGCTATTTAGTACAAGAAATTGATGGAGCAGAGAGACTACGATTTGAGAGATCTGGAATAACTCTAAAATGCTGAGAAGGAATTGAAGACTGCCTAATCAGAGCAGCAAAGAGTGTAACTTGAGTTGTAAGATCTCAGAAACTAATTAGTTCAGTTGCAGTCAGAACAAAGAGTTCTAGATTAAGATATTCAGATAGAGGACATGAGAAGGCAAATTTTAGAAAGACTGAAGAACTTGAAGGAGCAAATAATCAAGCAAAAGTAAAATATTTCAGACCAAGGTCAGTAGAAGGTCTCCAAAGATCTAAATGAGCAAATCTAACTCATGCAAAGATACCTCTCTCAGATTGAGTAGTTGGAAAAATAAGCAGCTTCATCTATCAGATAAGACTTGTAGCGAAAAATTAAGGAGTAAGAGGACGATCACAACAAGGCTAAATAAGATCTCATTCAGTTAAATACTCAAAAGCAGTAGTTTATCAAGAAATTAAAGGAGGACATTGAAGTCTAAAAAAGAAAGAATGATCTAATCTAGCAGGAAAAAGAAGATAACGATGTCAAGCTTAAGGAACTTAGAGATTAATTGGCTCAGCTTTAGTAATAGAAACGTGATTTATTAAGTGAAAAGGAGAAGGAATTACTGAATTTATAATAGGAAAGCGGGCAGGTTGAGTCGGAGAGACAAAAATTAGAAGAAAGACTAATTACTTTAAATCATGAGCTTTAGCAAACATAAAGAGATTTGAGGCAAACTCAGATGCTAAATAATTATCTATAGAGTGAAAAATCTGCTGTCGAAAATTTTAACAAGAACAATCCACAACTCAACTTACTAAAGTAAATCATTGATCAAATCAAGAATAGAACAGCCTAGTTATCTTCAGAAACAAACATACTTAAAGAGGACTGGGAGAGAAAGAAACTGAGGATTGAAAGTGACTAGATCAATGAAGTCAATAATATAAACCAAAAAATGATAGCTAAGCTCAGCTAGGACATTGATAAGCTTATAAAGGAAAAGGAAAATGAGACTTAAAAACTTAGAATGAAGTTGCAGAGTCTAGAGCAGATCAAGCTCAGACAAGAATAAGCAGTTGACCAAGAAACAGTTGATAGACTTAAGGCTGAATATGTGTAGAAATATAGTCAATATAAACAGGCATACTAGGAAAAAGGGCAGATGTATGGCTAGATTGCAGATATGACCAAAGATATTCTAGGGTTTAACAATGAATTTATAGATAAGGAATGTAATCATGCCAAAAAGTAACTCGAAAAAGAGATAGCAAAGGTTACTGCTGAAAATAATGATGATCAACTCAGAATTATAAATGATAAACTCTACAAATCAAAGGAAATAGAGGAGGCTTACCTGAATTAATTCGGCATTTATGATAAATAAATTGCTGATCTATCACATAAGCTTTAAGATCGTGATGAAGATATTAATCAACTAGAGGAAATATTGGAGGATAAAGACAAATATATCGATGAGCTTAAGAAAGAAATTGAAATTTAACAAGCGATGAAGAGACGTATCTAGGTTATAGTGCCACCAAAGAAACCAGAAAAGAAAGCATTCTAATTCCCCATGAAAAGACTTAGACAGGGAGAGTATCTTTTTGCTGGCAAGGTGATTAATGCCAAAGTATCAAATGGCAAGTTGCTGTTCAGAACTGGCGGAGGTTACATCATGTTTGATGAATTCTTGCATTAATATGCTAAGGAATAGGTGGCAGAATTGAGAGCATTTGCTGAAAGTGAAAACCTAACTCTTGAAGAAGTCTTAAGTAAGTTTGAGCAGCACTACATTGAGGAATATACTCAAGGAATGACTGGTACGATGTCTACAGCACTTGGGAAAATGTATAATCAAAATATGATGCAAAATCCAGGTAGAGGTGTTGGTAGCTTTAATGGTTCCATTTTTGGCAAAGGCTGGCTTGAGTTGTGGGAACTTTTCA